TAATCTAAACGTTCCCATCATGTTTAGCCGCCTTCAGATTATAAAAAAACCGTTTCTTCTCATGATTGTTTCCTTGTTATGTGAACTCCCATTTTTTCGTAAAACTTATCCTTATCCTTACATGTGACTTCCGGTCATTGAAGCTCCTCCTTACAAATATCGAGGCTAAAAAAGGACCGGGCAAAGGTGATTGAGTCAGTCTGGTGATCAATCAATTCAATTCAATTCTTGAAAGTTCAAGAGGAGTCTGGTTACCAATCAACCAACAAACCAATCAACTCAAACCAAACCAGTCAATTCAAATCAACAAAGAATTCACAACAAATTTTGGTGCCACGAGCTGGGACCGAGATGTCATCCATCATCATCAGAACCGCAGACCAAACAAAACGAAAACTGTGCGACGTCCTCGACGATATCAAACGTTTGAACTTGGATTCAAACAACCAAATGACAACTACCGAAGAAACAATCCAGTCTTCATCAGGAGCGGAAAAGAATCACCCAAGAAAAAATCATGCATATCCAAATTTATATAGAAGCGTTGGAAGCAGTCAATACAGAGTGGAAATAATTCATCCAGCAGATCTCAGTCTCAACCAAGAGGAAAGAAGACCGATACCTTCAGATAAAACGACGATGAAACAGTATAACTAATTTAATTTTCCAAGCAAAGCAAACTGTAGTTATCTTAAAAATGTATCAAAGCGACTCGGAACTCATATTGCAACGTTTAAATCAGTGTACGGTAAAGGAAGAAACAGTCCAATCCAAGGAATCCACAAAAGCAGTTAAATACTCTGCAGCATATCTCCCATAATTACCATTACCCACATTCAGTGGGGGTCCAAGACGTTGAAAGGAATTCTGGAACAGCTTTAATACAGCCATACATCAACAAGCGATCTCCAATATCCATAAACTAAACTACCTCATCGCATGTCTCAAAGGAGACGCCCTCCAAGCCACCAAGGGTTATGACGTAACTCCGGAAAACTACAGTATTATAAGAAATGTTCTCATCGAAAGATTCGGGCAGCCTCACGCTATCAAAAGAGCTCTATTCAATGAATTATACTCCATCAAAAGGAGCGACAAAGAATAGGAAGCAACGCTTGAGGCTGTGGAACGGACACTCCGACAACTGGAAGCTATAGGTGAGAATTTAGAACAATCCGGTATCGAAATTGCTGTAGAAAGAAGACAAATTATCAACCTGGATTCTAGAACAGGTTTACAAAAAGAAGAGGCAGGAATCGTGGTCCGTTATCAAACTCCGAAACTTCTCCACCGAGCTTACAATCAGTAAACAAAGAAGTAGCACAAAGCCAATCCCTATATTATGGAGGGAATAAGGAGAACCAATCTTCAATAAAAGGCAAGTCAAGACCACGATACAACCCTAGTAAGACTTCAGCCTTAACAACCGCTGTTCCCGAGAAGCCCACCATCAAAGCTCTATCAAGGTCTTGTGCACTATGCAACAAGAATCATTGGGATGAAGAGTGCCAGACTTATCCCACTCTCAAACAAAGGTTGGAACGTCTGAAGAAATTTAATGCTTGTTTCAACTGCTTCAAAGCCGGACATATAACAGCTAAGTGCAAAAACAAGAAACGGAATTGCTTCCACTGCACGAGTCAGCACAACTCGGCGCTGTGTTCTAGCAGATTCAAGGAAGTGGTCAACAAACTAGAGGGTCCAGACTCCATTATCACAATAAATACAATAGTCGAAAAGGGATGACAACGTGACAAGCGAATCCTACTCTTATGCAAGGAAATAAATGTGTCCAATCCAACCAATCCAAACACTCAACAGAGGGCCCTAGCATTATTCGACATCGGATCACAATTATCCTTTATTTCAAAGGACCTAGCGAAACGGCTAATGCTTAATGAAACAGATAAAAAGGAATTAAACATCGCTTCATTCGGCAATAAGAATCCGAACACATGCCTTACAACCAGAACTGAAATAGGAGTAAAAATTGAAAAGGACCGCACGATATTGCTCGAAGCAAACACTATGGACTATCTAACAAACAAACTGCAAGTAGCCAACTTATGGGAGATACGATCCCTCAAAGGAAGTCTAGCAATCAATTTCCACAGCGAATGGAAGCAATCGGATATACTCATTGGAGCCAATCATTTCAAATTTGTCAACTTCGACAAAGCAGATTCTCTGCTTTGTCGAAGTTGATAAAAACTATAGAGCTACTAATAAAAGAATCCCAATTAGAAGGTGTATCATTAGAAGTAAAAAAGTACAATCTGCATTATACAGATGGTTACCGGAGATTTCAAAGCAGGCTACAATTTCCGGACAACGGGGAATACACATCTCAAACAATATATCTTCCCAGACATAATCGAATAACAGAACTCATCATTCAATTTCACCATGCATTATGTAGGTATCCCTCAAACTATCTCCAGAATAAGAAAACTTTATTGAATTCCAAAAAGGACTGAAATCAAAAGGGTTTTAAACCGCTGTATGAATTGCAAACCCTGGAAGGGCAAGCCATTCAAATTACCACCTATGCCAAATTATCCGCAAGAGCGGATCATTGAATCAAAAACGTTTGGACGAATTGGCCTCGACCACTTGGGGCCAGTTGCTGTAAAGACACAAACGGAGAGAGTAAAGCGATGGATCGTTTTGTTCACATCACCACCATCTATCAGCGAAAAGTTTTCTAACTGTGTTAAGAAGATTCGTTGCGCGCCGCGGCTATCCCGAGCTTATTCTATCAGATAATGCCAGTCAATTTCAAACAGTTTTTCAAGCCATCAAGACCTGGGAATCACAACTAATTTCCTTGCAAAGGAAGGAATCAAATGCAAATCTATAACACCAAAGGCATCATGGAGCAGTGGAATCTACGAAAAATTAATCGGCTTGACAAAGAGTTTAAAAAGAGCTATTGGCAGAAGGTTACTTACGGAAAGGGAATTAATAACATTAATTATTGAAGTAGAAAGCATTCTTAATACGCGCCCCTTGATTTACGTAAATTTCGATGACTCAATTATCTTACGACCAACAGACTATTTCACCCAATGCTTTATACCAAATGACAATGATGACAATGAAGACGAATTCACATCTCATAAACTAACCACACAAGATTACTTAGACACTGATCGAGTACTTTAGAAACATTGAATGTATTTTGAGAGATATGGAAGGACCAGTACTTAAATAGCTTAAAGAATCGATACCAATTAGAATACAAATCTCCAAAAAATGTAGAAAGGAGAGCACCGATAGGAGTAGTACTATCAGATGAACCATATACGCCACGCGGTACTTGGAAGCTAGCAAGAATAAAGAAACTAAATGTAGCCGTCGATGGGCATGTCAGCAGTGCTCAGATCAAAACACCATTAGGAAAACTAAATCGACCAGTAAACACATTGTATCCACTTAAGTTTCTCCAGAGAAACACCTACCACTCCCTTAAGCTTAATTCAAGCTTGTTCTATCCACAATTAAGGCCTAGAAATTTCTAACGATCAAAACGTTCTCTCTTATAGACCCCAAATCATTCCTTTAGAATATTTTTTTCTCCTCCCTCGGGAGTGTTGAGAACAAACTCGAAATCTCTCGAAATTATTTTAATTCCAATATTTATCACATAATCAAACCAAATAATTAAACTAAAGATTTCTCCTTAATGATTCATCATTTGTAATGTTTCCGTTTTCAGTCCCTATCTCAACAGTTATCGTTGTTCCAAATAAATAATCTAAACGTTCCCATCATGTTTAGCCGCCTTCAGATTATAAAAAAACCGTTTCTTCTCATGATTGTTTCCTTGTTATGTGAACTCCCATTTTTTCGTAAAACTTATCCTTATCCTTACATGTGACTTCCGGTCATTGAAGCTCCTCCTTACAAATATCGAGGCTAAAAAAGGACCGGGCAAAGGTGATTGAGTCAGTCTGGTGATCAATCAATTCAATTCAATTCTTGAAAGTTCAAGAGGAGTCTGGTTACC